TTAGGTTTCACGCGGATCACTAATGGTAGGTTCTTGAGCGTTAATACTCACTAAATGGACGATAAATATTTGTTTAAGGAAAGTGAAGAAACTCAATAAATATGCTTATATTTCCCCATGACCCTGAGTGATTTCTAAACACCCTACATACAACAACGGTTGTATTAAATAACCATTGTTGTATATCTTTTAATAAAATATTTAAAAAAATGCAGCAGTAGAACAACAACAACAACAACAACAACAAGAAGTTTCAAACTCATGATCATGCACTACATACAACAACAATTGTATTAAACAACCGTTGTTGTATGTCTATTAATAAAATATAAAAAATATAGCTATAAAACAACAACGACAACAAGATTCGAATTCATGGCCATGCGCCACTTTTTACCACAATTGAAACTTCCAACCGTGGTAAAAAATGGATTAAAAATGAAAATAAAAAGAAAGTGCCTAATTGAATATTCTACCATGGTGGATCTTTTGGACTTGGTAACATGGGCGTTGTTGTATATCCTTTTCGTAGTAGTGATATAGATATTTATATACTAAATAATATAAACAACAAAAACGAATCTATACAGTTTTTTTCAATTTTATTTTAACAAATATTATAATATAAATCCTGAAAATTTAAGGAAAAAACCATTATTGACAGTTGTGAAGTGATTTTCTCATCAATAACTTATTTAATATTAAAATAATATAACACAAATGTAGCACATGGACTGTCAGATTTAAAAATTATAAAAAAAATGTGACGTGAAAATCACGTCACAACATGTAAATTAAAAAAAATAATAACTAAAACAACAAATCTACTGAAGCGGGAAGGAGAAAATTTTCAAAATTTGGGTTGTGAAGTGAATATCACGTCGCAACCATTTAGGAGGGAAAAATATCTAACGTAGAAGTGATGATTGATTGTGCTGCAGGTTGTAAAAATGACAGTTGAAACTTTTGCGACGTGAATATCACGTGGCAAAGTTGCGAAGTGATATTGTCGCTACGAAATTAATGTGAATAATTAAATTTTAACCGTTATAGGTTGCGACGTGAATTTCACGTGGCAAATCACTAAGATTTTATTTATGATGCGTAACAATTTCCCATACCACACTTATTCCCACATATTTTCTTTCTTTTTCCCTCTGTTTCTTCTTCTTCCCCCAATTTGTTTCATTGTTTGTTTCCTCTTCTCCTTTGATCTTCTTCTTCTAAGTTTTTTTCTTTATTTTTTTTTGAGTTGTTTCTTCATTTTGCTTGTACAGGTAATATATATTTTCCTTTCATATAGTTATTGTTGAATTTTATTTTTATTAATTTAGTTTAAAATGTAATTTTATATGAGTTTAATATTTGTTTTTTTTGTTGTCAAATTATTATTGTTGTTGAGAAAAGAAAACAAGGAGATTGAAGAAGATAAATGTCTAGAAGATTGAAGGAGTGTGAAGAAGAGGTATTTTTGCTATTTTATTTTTTATTTTAGTTTGATTTATTAATTTTGGATTGTTGTTAGATGTATACTTTTCTGAATGTTTATATTATTATTATTATTATTATTATTTATTATTTAAAAATGATTTTTGTTATTAGAAATAGAATATTATATTTAGAAATAAAATATTAAAAATAGAAATATGTTATTTTTAATTTTTTATTTGTTTTTTGGTTATAAAATATTAAAAACAGAATGTTAATAAAATATAAAAACAGAATTTTGATTTATTTTTAATGTTTTATTATTTTTAATATTTATGTGTTATTAAAAACAAATTTTTATATATAGTAACAATATTAAAAACTGAATATTAACAATATTTTAAATTTTTATGTGTTATTAAATTTATTTATGTTTTATTACTTTAAAAACTGAATATTAAAAACCAAATATCTTATTTTTAATGTTTTATAGAAACAATATTATATTTATATTATTATTATTATTTGTTATTAAAAACAGATTTTTTTATTAAAAATAGAATATTATATTTAGAAATAAAATATTAAAAACAGAAATATATTATTTTTAATATTTTATTTATTTATTGCTTATAAAATATTAAAAACAGAATATTAATAAAATATAAAAACAGAATATTAAATTTATTGTTAATGTTTTATTATTTTTAATATTTATGTGTTATTAAAAACAAATTTTTATATATAGTAACAATATTAAAAATAGAATATTAACAATATTTTTAATTTTTATGTAACAATATTAAAAACAAATTTAAGTTGTATTCAATTTAATTTTTTTTATTTTATGTGTAGGAGGATTACCAAGTATTGCTCACACATTTTTTTGGTAGAAAGAGGAAATGTAGAAGTGGGTGGTCAATAACAGTTGGATGACGAGGATAACAATGATTTTGACATACATGGACAGTTTTCTCGATCCGGATTGATTCGAATCATTTATTATAATTTTAAAATTTTTTTTGTAAAATATTAATTACATTTTAGTATATTATACACTTTTTATTTAAAAAATTTATTCTTAATTTTGATATTTATTTATATTTATTAATTTTTGTTATTTATTTTTATTAATTTTTCAATTTAAATTATTATTAAAAATAATTTAAAAATAATTTGTATTTATTAAATTGAGTGGACAAACTATAATTATAATTTTAAATTTAAATAAAAATATAAATTATTTTTAAACCTACCAAAAAATTAATCAATTTAAATTTTTTTTAAAAAAAACACTTACCCACGTGATATTCACGTCGCAAGTTGTGGAGTGAAAATCATTTTGCAAGTTGTGAAGTGAAAATCACGTCGCAAGTTGTGAAGTGAAAATCACGTGGCAAAGTTGTGACGTGATTTCCACGTGGCAACAAAGTTGTCACACGTCCTCCTGCCACGTGAATAGTCACGTCGCTAATATCAGTTTGTGGAGTGATTTTCCTTGTTGTGAAGTGAATTTCACGTGGCAAGATGCAGTTTTATATATATAATAACATCACACAAAAAATAACATATATCAATATCAAATACACCTAAAATCTTGAAAAAGAAAAAATATGTGTGTACCTTTTGATGCCTACTTAAATTTGAAGTTCCCTTTTGATGAAATTTAACACCTTTATATGAATAAATGTATACATGCAACACAAAAAATAAAAAAAGTTAATTAGTAAATCAAAATTATAAACTTAAAAAAATTATAGTAAAACAATAATACTTACCTAATTTTAGAGTGGAAGAATATTTGAAAGAAGAAAAAATGGATGTTTGATGGAAGTTGTTTTATTAATATAAATGAGAGAAAAAGAAGCGTGGAAGCAAAATGAGAGAGGGCAGAAAAATGAGAAAACAGAGAAAAGAGAGAGAGTGTGTCTGGGAAAGAAGAATGAACCTATATTTATGGTTGACAATTAGCGAGAGGGGTCCTCACGCAGGACATAACAGTCGTAATTTGTAAGGGGTCATCCTAAGCAAAATTATGATGTGTCAGTGCTTTGCAGGCTGGAAAGCACGTGGTATGCAGCTTGCAAGGGGCTATCCCACGTAGCAAGCTTTAGCAGCAGGAATAAATAATTTTTATGGCTATTTTGACTTTACCATTATAACTAGTGAGGGGTAGCCCCTCGCTAAGTGCACAAATACAATTGGTGAGGGGTTATCCCCTCGCAAATGACAACCTTTGCCAATCCATTTTGGCACTCTTTCCTTTTTGTGAGGAGTGATCTCTAACAATTTTTAATTTCAAAATTTTAAAAAAAATTTCCCCATATTTCTTAGGAGTCACCCCACATTTTTTATTTAAATATTTTGCATGTGTATATTTTATGCATTGTAAGGGGTTTAATTTCAAACAACTTTGTTTTTTTAGCGAGAAAATTTACTCTTAGTTAAAATCCCTAACTAAATACAATTTTTTCTTGTAATACAAGCATGCATGCGTCGGAGGAATTGCCATGACACCAGAACATTAGTTAAAGATCATGGCAATAGGTTGAATTTAGAGTATATGCACATGTTGCATTGACGCATTCTTTTTGTGATGATTTTTTTTTTGAAATATGGTTTCTTTGATAAATAATTTAAAATGTTGATCATTTAATTTGTTTTTTTGAAAATTTGATTATTTTAAATAAAAAATATCATATTATATTAATATGTTTAAAAAGTCAAAACAAAAATGACAATTTAAAAAGAACTATGATTTATGTTAATCCTGCAACTTTATCCAAAGGTAGAAGAAAGGGTGAAAATTATGAAATATATGTAGGGAAAGTAGAATATATGGTTAATAATTCAAAATTGGAATAGCTTATACGAAACTATCTTTGGTTAAAAGTTTAAAATTAAGATTGAAATCATGTATTTGGTATATTGAAAACAGCGCTATGATTATGATTTTAAATTGTGGATCGCAATAATGCAGTTGCGGTAGTGTACGCATCCGCATTAGACTGCAATTGTGATGTGATTTCAAATCACAATAAAAATGATGTGATTTCAAATCACAATAAAAATTACATCATAACGCAATAGTTGCATTAGCTTGCATTAGACCATAAGAGATTATGCAATGCTCGAAAAAAAAATTGTTTGGTTTATCTTCCTTTTTATTTATATCATGGATTTAAGACATATTTTAAAATGATCAATGATATTTAAAATTATTATAAATTGTTAATGAGATATATATGAAAATTTAGAGAGAAATTAGAAGATATGTGAAATCTAAAATAAATAATAAAATATAATATTTTATGTTCAAATATAAATTTACACCGCAACAATTGCAAGTCACATTGCAACAATCACAATAGCTGCAATCATAATTGTAGCTGCAACCGCAATTTAAAATCATGATTGTGACTTAGATAGTGGAAGCAAAGATAGAAAATCAATAATAAACTCAGACAATAGCTATATAAGAGATCATTAACTTGTTATCCTAGTATATGCAACTTTATCCAGCAAGAGAAAGGATGGAAATTATGCAATATAATGGTTAAACATATGATAATTCAAAAATGAAACAACCTATACGAAACCATTTTTGATTCCATTTCAGCTCCATCTGCACATAAAAGTTCATTGCCATTTTTGATGTTTAAGTCTAGCTGAATTGAATCCCCTTCAATATGAGGCTTTAGTTCCTTGTTTTCTTCAGCTCCTAATACTTGTTGGTAATTGAAAACTGAACTATGATTCTTGTTATAAAACTCATTCATGTCTACTATGTTTTTTTTACTACCTTTATTCATATTTTCCATGAAATTTGATAAAGCTGAATTGAATTCAAGATTGGTTTGTTCATCTTGTGAAAGACTTGTTTGTGCTTTCTCTAACACTGTCTGAAAATACTTCTCTTGAGCCTCTATTCTCATTTGCAATTTCTTTTGTACCTATTGACAATGAATTATTTAGAATTGAACAATTAATTAACTTGGTTAGAAAAGTGATAGAATACCTCAAATTGCTCTTCTAATCTCTTTTGAACTTCAATTTGTTGCTTAAGTGCTTCAGCTATTGGGATTTCCCTATTAATTATCCCTATTTAGAATTGGGATTTCATTTTAAATTTAAACATAAAATGAAATAATTGGTTAAATTCCAACATACCCCTCTTCATTATCACCTCCATAACTGGTATTAGTCTGTGAAGAATGGTTACTGAAATTTACATAGGAACACCCTAAAAAGTTGAAACAAGTATATATTTAAGTTACTATATAAGTTTAAATAAGTAGAATTCAAATATCATCAATTGACTAATTTGTAATAGGCTCACTGTTATTTTCTTTGTATTGTTCTTCATACTGTTTTCGACCATTTTGTCCAAGTCTATACTTCTGCAAGTTAACACAAAATGTCATTTCTATGCCACTAAATAAAAAATCATAAAATGACTCATACTTTGTCTTTTCACTTCTAAATAATATATTTTCAACATAAATTAAATATATCATCAATATGTCAAAAGAATAGAAGCTGTTACCTGTAAATGGCTCTTCAAATGATATAATGTCAAACCTTTTAAGCTCATTAACCTTAGAACAGCCTTTGGAGTTGCCTCTATGCACAATAACATAACAAACAAACAGAACATTTCAAATTAATATCATTATGTGACAAACAGAATGAAAGAAGAGCACACTACATACTGTCAGGGCCACCAAGCTTTGTTACAGCATCGACAAACCGGTCGTGAAGATCGGCTGTCCACCTCAGCCTCGGCTTCGGGTCTCTTGTCATCGTCATCATCACTCCATTATAATCTTCTCTTCCTCCTATCTCACCACTCTCCATCATACCCTCTTCCTTTTTCTTTTTCCTTCTATTTTTAGCTTCAATATAAGAAAATCTTGGTGTCAATATTTTTGGTAATGAAAATGGAAGAATCTATAATTTCACAAGACAAAAACCAGACTCTGATGAGTAATCATAACATGTTGGAATTGAACTAGAAACCAAACAAGTCAGAAGAACAGAACATTATTGGTCAGATGAAAACAGAGGATTGGTGTTTTGAAATATAAATAATATAGAAAAAAAAAAAACAATGGCTCAATGGAGTAAGAAGCAACAACTATAAAAGCGTCAAATACGGTGATGGAAGGAGTTTGTTAATATAACTGTGTTACATTGATTCAAATAATTGTCACGCGAATTCTAATAATTAATATATGTCAATGTTAATGATTATTATTAAAGTAATATTATGCAAACATCATTTGATTATACCTCGTAGAAAACAACAGGTTCTATATTGTTTATAGGACATGTTAGAGGAAATATCGGCGACGAATCTGAGGTAACATCGTGAATAGAATACTAGGTTTTTTTAATTGAGAGCGAGGGTGTATCATCCTGCTACATGTTCTCACCGTTGGATCTGCAAGATGGAAGAGATTAGGGAATCGGACGGTGGATGATGTGGGAGTGGGAAGGGTGTATGGGAGTGAAGTGGAATGGATGGTAGCGTGGAATATTCGATTTTGGACCATAATAGAAGGATGTGAGAATCCAAAACAAAGGGGAGGGTCACTTCATCACATGGATGATGGAAATTGAAGAGAGAGAGAGAGTGAGAGAGAAGTGGAGCCCACCATGACCATGTTTCGGTTTGTCTGTTTCAAATGGCGACGGCAGAATATTCCTCCTTCCTCTCCGGCGGAGGAAGCCATCTCAGAGAATTGGAGATGTAGTTCCATGATGAAAAATTGGATTTTTTTTTAAATAATCATTATATTTATTTAATTTTTAAAAATAACCTAAGTTTTAATAAATGAAAAGACCAATTAAAAAAAAGGAAAAGAAAGTTAGTCCAGATATACTTTGAACTATTATCTCTTGTAATTATATATGTGTTATTTTATATATATTTTTTAATGGTTTTTCGCCTATATTTTTCGTTTAATACTATCTATGGTCATGTGTGTATTTTTGTTTTAGCAAAATTTTCATGATATAAACTTCAATTCTCACTTTTAGACTACATCATCTCGAAATTCATATAAGGAAAGTTCATTTTGTATATATTTTTTGAGATACATATCTTCGATATAGAATTTATTAAGAGTTTAAGAAAACTCAACCTTCAATATGTAATAGTCATCATTATCACAAAATGTTGCACAAACATCCAAATCAACAATTTGTTGTTACCCATTGAATCTTAGGTTAAGATTTGTTAACTTTATATTGGGTTGCTACCGTTGTCAAAACCCTTATTCAAGGAGTTTCAATCTCATACCTCTCAAAGTATTCTTTACTAAATCTCTAACTAGTGGTGTAGTAAACAGATCAGCTAAATTATAGCATATATATATCAGTCAGTCAAATGATCATATCTTTAATCAATTTTCTCACGAAAAAATGTTTAAGACCTATGTACATAGACTTTCAATTGTATATTTCACTAAATACTCTATAGTTGTGGTGACTTGACTATCACAATGTATCAACACTTTCTAAACATTGTTCATAGCTAATGGAATCTCCAACATAAGATTATCAACCATTTTGCTTCTTGTCCAGCAGAGCAAGAGCCACAAACTCTGATTCCATGGTCGAGAGAGTGATGTGTGTTTGTTTCTTACTCTTCCAAGAAATTGCACTTCTTGCTAATGTAAATGTTCACCCAGTTGTATATTTATATTCTCTAATACTCAATATCCAACTCGCATCGTTATATCCTTCTAGTATGGCAAGAAACCTACCATAATGAATGCCATAATTTTTTGTTTTTAAATAATAACCGAAAATTCTAGTTGTTGTCTTCCAATGTTCAACACATGGATTGCTAGTAAATCTACTCATCTTACTAACTACAAATAATATGTCAGGTCTGGTGCATTGCATTAAATACATTAGACATCCAATTTCACTTGTATATTTCAATTGGGCCATAACTCTTCCATTGTCCTTGTGAGATATTGGATCGAACTCTAGTATGTTGTCAGAGTAATGTGTGGTGTAGTCGAAGTTTGTTCTAACATGCATTAGTCAATATTGATAGGTTTGTTAGTATGTGGAATTTGGCCTTGCTTGTAAACCCAATTGTTTAAGTTAGCTTGTACCCTAAGTTAGCTTGTAATGGGTAATTGTTAAAAAAAACCATTAGGTTAGTGTGTTATTTTTTCTTATAAATAGCATGCTAGTCTTTCATCTTGTATAAGTAAAAATAGGAAGATAAAATCATAATTTAAGAGAGACAGGTTATTTGTTATTCTTGTATACTTGTAATCTTGTTTGATAGATAAAGGAAAGAATAGCCGTTTATAACCAATCCTTATTGTTTCTTCTTGTTCTTCTTGCTCGTTTTCTTTGTTAACCCTAACCCTTGTGTGTTTCTTGAATATAAAGAAACCGTTTATATTTTTTTTCAAGGCATTCTATTCACAAAATATTGGTGCAGTGAGCGTGGAGAAGATGCCTTCAACAAAGTATGAGATTGAAAAGTTCACCGGAGTGAACGACTTCGGTCTATGGAACTTGAAGATGAAAGCCATACTAGTTCAGCAAGGTTGTTTGGAAGCGTTGAAGGGAAAGGCATCCATGGACGTTGTGTTAACGGAAAAAGAAAAGACAACCATGATTGAGAAAGCCCACAACGCAATATTGTTGAGCTTTGGTGATAAGGTTCTTTGATAGGTATCAAAGGAGACTATATTATCCAGGTTATGGGTGAGCTTGAAAGTTTGTACATGACCAAATCTCTGGTGAATCGACTCTACCTGAAGCAAGCTTTGTATTCATCCAAGATGAGTGAAGACAAAGTGTTAGCTGAGTAGTTGGATATGTTCAACAAGCTGATTCTTGATCTTGAAAATATTGATGTGAAGATCGATGATGAAGATCAATCACTGTTGTTGTTGTGTGATTTTCCTAGAACACATGCTCACCTCAAAGAAACACTCTTGTATGGAAGGGAGTCCCTGAGCTTTGAAGAAGTTCAATCCGACTTGTATTCTAAGGACTTGAACAAACGAAATGAGCATAAACCTTCGATAGTGGGTGAAGGTTTAGCCGTTAAGGGAAAATTCTTGCGAAAGGATGGTGAGTTCAACAAGAAGAAAGGTAAAAGTTAGTAGAAGTCTTATAGTGGAAAAACATCTGGTATTCAATGTTATCATTGTAAGAAGGAAGGTCACATAAGAAAGGTGTGCCCTGAACGCCTAAAAGATCATGGAGGTAAGTATAATGGCAACACAGTCATTGTTCAAGATGACTTTGACTCATCTGATGTTCTTGTGGTTTCAAATGGAAACTCAAGAAAAGAGTGGATTATGCATTCAGGTTACACATGGCACATGACTCCAAACTGAGAATTGTTTGAGGAGCTATGTGATTAAGATGGTGGATTGGTGCTGCAAGGAAACAACAAATCTTGCAAAATTGAAGGTACTGGATATGTGAGATTCAAGCTTCATGATGGGTCAATAAGGTTATTGACTGAAGTCGGGTATGTACCTGATTTGAAGAGGAATTTGATTTCTCTTGGTGAATTCGATAGGAAGGGATATATTTTTCAAGGAGAGAAAAGTATCCTAAGAGTCATGAAGGAGTCGAAGGAAGTCTTGAGAGGCGTGAAAAAGCAAGGCTTATATACCCTTGAGGCTGAGGTTCTAAGTGGTTCGACAAATGTTGTATCCATGAAACCTATGTTGAAGATAGAATTATGGCACATGAGATTAGGCCATGTCAGCGAAAAAGGTCTGGTCGAATTGAAGCAAAAGAACCTACTAAGAGGTGACAAAGTCAAAAAGTTGGAGTTTTGTGAATCTTGTGTATTTGGTAAATCCTGTAGGGTGAACTTTAACAAAGGCAAGCAAAGAACACATGGATCCCTAGATTACATTCATGTTTGTCTTTGGGGACCTGCAAGTAATTATTCACACTCAAGTGCAAGGTATATTTCTATCCATCGTTGATGACTATTCTAGAAAGCTATGGGTATTCATCCAGAAGGTGAAGGATAAAACTTTTGAGAATTTCAAAAGTTGGAAGGTTCTAGTCAAAACTCAAACTAGCAGAAGGGTTAAGAGGTTGAGAACATACAATGGCCTTGAGTTCTGTAACGAAGTATTCGACGGTTACTGTCTTGAGTTTGGGATTTCAAGGCATAAGACTGTAGTAGGTACTCCTCAACAAAATGGCTTAGCTGAAAGATTCAATTGAACAATCCTTAAAAGGGCTAGATGCATGTTGGTTAGTGCAGGATTGAAGAAGGTGTTTTGGATGGAGGTTGTTTCGACAACAGCCTATTTGATAAATAGATGTCCCTCTAATGGCTTGAGAATGAAGACACCTGAAAAGGTTTGGTCGAGACATCCATCTAGTCTCAACAAACTGGGAGTATTTGGCTGTGTCGCATATGCTCATATTAGGCAAGATAAGGTCGAACCTAAAGCTCTGAAATGAATGTTTATGGGATACCCTAAAGAAGTCAAAGCTTATAGGCTATGGTTCCTAGAGCCAGGTCACATGAGATGTATCACTAGTTGAGATGTAGTTTTTAATGAAATAGAGATGAATTTCAAGAAAACTGATGATGCTAACGAAGAGCTGGAGTAGGGAGGGATTCCTATTGAGGTGGAGCATGTTGATGCTGAATTACGTATCCCATATGAAGTCAAAGAAGACGTAGAAGATATTGTTGAATATGAGGAGACTAATAATGACTATCTTCTAGCAAGAGACATGTTGAAGAGAGTCATCAAGCCACCTCAGAGACTTGGGTATGCAGATCTTATAGCTTATGCCTTAATCTCTCCAAGTGAGGTTCTAGATGAAGAATTGAAGAATTG